AATTTTTCCAAGAGTATTTATCAAGTCAGTTTGTACCAAAATAATAAATCCATCCAGCTGTCGGAACACTACTGCCTGTGAAAAAAATCAGAATCTCTCTGCTTATACCTACCATAGGATAAGGTATACTATTAACAAATAAAGAAGGTTACTACTGCCACGAGGCAGGACTTTAGGATAGAGAAAGATACGCATTCTAGCTCTACTACTGCAGCATTCCAGGTGGCCATAAAGCACAGCACAGCAACCATTGTGCAGCACCTAAAAGTCCACAGCTACCCTACAACTCAGTCAGTACTGCACTATTTCACTTTCAGCGATTTTTGTTCTTTGATTTGGCTGCACACTTGACCTGGCTAAACCTTACTCCAGCTGAGAAAGCTGCATGTTGTGGCAGCACTGGGTTGGTAGGCATTGTGAAATAAAGTGGGAGGCCTTATGTGCTCATTTGTGTGTCAGTACCCAGAATGCTGCTTCTAGCTTCCAGCTACTTCATAGAAGTGCTGCTGGGACTTGAACCGTGGGAACACTGCAGTGCTAGCATGTGTGGGTGTGTTCACACGTGTGCAAGGAAAGCTCTCTTATTCTCTTAATGTCTGATCACATACAGTTTTGCTAAAAGTACAGATGTCTGGCACACAGGTAGGAAATATGAAAGCGCTGTCAAACGTTGCTCGGTCCAGTATTTAAAAAAGAAAAAAGGGTTCAAAAGATACAAGAGTCGAACCCACCCTCCTTTACTGGAAATAGCAACCAACAAAGCCTTCAGGCCTGCTTTTTGAACTAATTCAATCATAGAGGAGGCATACTGATGTTAAAAAAGCAGAGAGCTGTCTGTCACACAGACGGGGAAAGAGAGCGTGAGAGACACACCAAGGCCGTTATCTATACCAGCAAGTGAACACGTAACATGCACCAGCTGCTGAGCTCAAGAAAAAGGCTTTGGCACTGATGATGGATTTCTAGGACCCTGTTTTGCAACCCTGTCGGGTTATTCACATTTTAAATTTCTAGAAATACCCCAGAATGTAATGGTTGTGCTCCATGTCAGTAATGGTGGATGAAAAGAGAGACAGGTAGGGAAACAGGATACCAGCTCAAGTAAAAGCCAGGTTGGTGCATGGAGACTCTCAAAGACCAGAGAGCAAACAAAGCAGAAAAAAAAACGTGCACAAGCATGCGAGAAGGTAGAAAACCAGTGAAGGATACAAACAGAGGAAAATGGAGAAGTTATCATATGGCTCAAGAAAAGACAGAGCTGTGGGAAGTGGCAGGAAGGTGAAGGAGCTTATGGGAGGTCATCCAAGGAGGAACAGGGAGAAAATTAAAAAAAAAAAAAAAAAAAAAATGTTAGAAGAGGGTAAGGGAAGTGGCTGAGGCCTCTATGGTTCCTGCTCTAGTGGGGGCTCCAGCTGTCACAACTCCCTCCCATTTTTGGTTAAGACCCTTTGCTGACTTCATAGACATCTAGACAAAAGATTCTTCTGCAAGTGGCAAGACCAGGCAACACGCATTTTGTTCAACCAACCAGGCTGACTGAGGGACAATGTATCTGCATCTATGTATCCATCTCTTGATACAGACAGATAGATATACACAATGGATACTTGATGCATATAGAAATATATGTTGGGAATGAAGTGTCTAGGTAAAGCTATGCCTTGTAGCAATGCTTTAAAACCACACCAAGGAAAAAAGGGGGGGGGGGGGGGGGGGGGGGGGGAAAAAAACAATGTTGCACAAAGCCGAG